ACGATGAAAAATACAACTTTCCTCTAGTTCCTAAATGCTTCCTCCCCACCACTATCATGATCCCAATTCTACCTTACAAATCCAGCTAGACCAGAGAATGTACACTGGTACAGATAGGACCTGGAAATACAGGGAATCCAAGACAGATGATCCCTTCAGGACCAGTGGTGAGAGTGCGATACCGGGAGGGTGGAGTAGAGAGGTGGAACCAATTATAAGGATCTATATATAACCTCCTCCCTGGGGGATGGAAAACAGAAAAGTAGGTGAAGGGAGACGTAAGACATGACAAATGTAAGACATGACAACATAAGACAATGTAAGACATGACAAAATAATAATTTATAAATTATGAAGGGTTCATGAGGGAGGGGGTAGGGAAAGGAGGTGAGAAAATGAGGAGCTGATACCAAATTTCAAGTAGAAAGCAAATGTTTTGAGAATGATGAGGTCAATAAATGTACAAATGTACTTGACACAATGGCTGTATGTATGTATTGTGACAAGAGTTGTATGAGCCCCCAAAAAATGATTTAAAAAATTTTATTACAAGAAGTTGATACGATATAGCAAAAATTCTCAGATTTGACGTTCTCCCCTACGACCTATCTATTACATTGACCATAGTCATGTTTTAAAACCTTGGCTTACATGTCAGATGTATCCCTGGTTTACATGTCAGATGTATCCCTAGACTTTATAAAAAATATCTACCAGTGTGACACAGTTATCTAGCTATCTAATGCAATATTCTTTTCTCCCTTCCTATGAGAACTTAATTCCAGTTTTACCTGCAGTAATGTGCCCCAGGAAACGGGACTGCACACTCTGGAGACACCTTTTTCCTTTGTTCGGTTAAGGTATAAGTGACAGTCAATAAAATATAAAGTGCACTAATCTTAAGTGTTCCAGAATATGTAATTGTGCTCATGCAGAACCAGTACTTCGAACACAAGGGAAAACTGCCTAGCATAGCATCAGAAAAGGTGAGTCAGCATTGTGTCTTTTCGCCATACGGATTCAGCCTGCAGCAGAGCCAGGCAAGGCTTCTTTCTGTTATACATCGGGCCACTATGAGTTGGAAATGACTTAATGGCACAAAACAACAACAATCTAAGTATGTAATATCATCAATTTACATATGAGTACCTTAACTCAGATCACAGTCTTGAACATTCTCATCTATTCTGTGCTTTGTTTTCTATGGGCTTTGTGTCCCCTGGAATTGTCCATGTTGTCAGGTGTCAGGACAGAAACATGGCATACAGTGGTCACTTTGCCACCGGCCCCGAGATCTGGGTGTTTGTCCACTTGGGTATGCGAGGGCCATGGGTGGTGGTTCTGGATTGGGGGCGTTTTCAAGGAAACGAAGTCCTCTGCCTCCGTCTGGGGAAGGTAGATCCCATCTTGGCTGTGAATCCTAACCCACTAGTTTTGTCTGTAGTTTGAAATGGCACAAGACGACCTGCCCACCTGAATGATGGGAGTCACAGCAAGGAGGCAAAGAGAGCTGGAGGTGGCAGCTGTGGTTACTGGGGAAGACAGGGCTGCCTGCCCAAAATAATTCTTGGAACCCGAGGAGCAAGTATTTATTCACTGAATTTTACATATCACTGTTTTTCAATTAACAATCTAGACTTTGTGAACCACGTAGACAAGTGAGGGCCGGTGTATTTTTTAACACAGAATTCTCTGTGGAGTCAAAGTGCTGGTCAAGCTTCAGATGACTATACACTCCTCAGTCTTAGATGGAAGCAGTTTGGGACATGGATATAAGTACAAGCTATTCAGCAATACGGGAATAGTGAGCAAAAACATGAATAGAAGCAGCTTGAGAACAGAATCATGTGGGAAGCAGAACTAAGAGAAGGAAGGATGGGGTGTCAGTATTTGTTTTCATGATAAGCCCTCTCAAACCACAGTATTTTAAAATTATGCACGAATTATTTGATGAGATTTTTTAAATTACTAAAAATAGGGGTAAACTGTGGTCACAAAAAAAATGTTTTCTGGGTTATATTTAAGGAAAAGATGAAAGCAGAGTAAACAAAAAAATATTGGTGATAGGCTGTAGGGAAAGAGGATTAGCACATGAGTCTACAGATGCAAAACGAGAGATGAGGGGAAAAACCCCAAACAATTGCCACAGGAGTTACCCAAATTGTAGAAGGAGCGCAGAGGGATTAATAGGTGTTCATTTATTTTGCTGTGTTTACAAGGAACCTGCGGCAATGTTACTGAAAATTTTGCCAATATTGTAGGAAAATAGTATGTAGATGCCCTTTTAAAACAGCTTTGTTAAGATGCAATTAATATATTGCACAATTCACCAACTCTAAGTATACACTTCACTGGTTTTTCTATAGTGTTGTGAACCCCTGATCACAATCAACTTCAGAAGGGTTTCACCATCTCAAAAAGAAGCCCATAGCCTGTGGCAGACATTTCTCATTTTCTCCAACTCCCCAGGCGTAAGCAGTCACTGCTTGACCATCTGTCTCCAAAGACATGCGTGTTATGGACACTCCATACAGACAGACTTATATAATTTATGTAATGTGGCCTTTTGCATCCAGCTTCTTCCATTAGCTGATGTTTCCAAAGCTCATCCATGACGAATAGCACGCATCAGCACTTATTCATTTGTATTGCCAAGTCACAGTCCACTGTCTGGCATACCACATTTTATTGATCCATTCATCAATTGAGGGACATTGGGTTGTTTCCACTCTGGGGCTATTATTATGCAAAATGGTAATCAGAATGTGTAAAAGTTCTGTGTGGGCATATGTTGTAAGCTCATTTTAAAAGTTTGGTGACTTAAACAAAAACCTTTTTACACATATAAAGCATTATATAAACAGAAAGTGTTTTGCCATTTGTATTTACATGTGTTCTGTTTTCTCATTAAAAACAAACAAACAAACAAATTCTTACTCATAGTGATTCTCTAGGACAGAGAAGAACTACTCTGTGGGGTGTCCTTAACTGTACCTTTATAGAAGCAGATTGCCTTAGTGCAGTGAATATGACAAATGATGGGTTTGAACTGTTGACCTTATGGTTAGGAGCCCAATGCTCAATGGACTGTGCCACCAGAACTCCTCTGTTTCTCTCTCCATGGACTTATTTTTAATGAACAGATATAAAAATAAATGACAAGTATATGGTCATGGGCACCTAGATCTGTAATTCATTTTATAAAACAGCACAAAGGGATCTATAAAACAAAACTCATTGCACTGACTCAATCCCTACTCACAGAGACCCCACAAGGCAGAAGCATGGCCTCAGAGGGTTTCCAAAACTGTAATCTTCATGGAAGCACATGGACACCTGCCTGCTAGAGAGGCTTGTCAGTTTCAACTGCAGAACTTTCTGTTAGCATCCACGCACCTAACTACTGTGTCACCAAGGCTCCTTCAAAGGAGATTCAGTGAACTTGAATCTACTTCTTACTTTGTCCTACCCCAGAGCAAAACGACAAA